ACTGACGGGTTTGACTTGCTGACCTTGCGGTGAGCAGTCCAAAATTACCCAACAGGGGCACCAGGGATCCTTTAAACCAAAAACCCAACCTCCGCCATAGAGCTGATTCAGACGCATAGCAGCCTATAGAACAGGGCAGAACTGCTCTTGTGGGTTTCCAAGATTGGAACTCTTTCGAGAAGTAGAAAGCCTCCTCTTTCTCCCTGGCAGCATTGGTAGGTTTGAACTGCTGACCAATTGGTGAACAGCCCATCTGTAACTGCGATGTCACCAGGGCTCCAGGGGTCCTTTAGCAAGGTAAATTCAAAATCCCCAAATTTACTGCCACCTAATTGGTTCTGACTCTTAGTGACCCTGTAGGGCAGAGTAAAACTGCCTCTTTGGGTTTCTGAGACTTTAAGTCTTTACAGGAGTAGACAGTCTCATCTTTGTCTTGCAGTGCAGATGGTGGTTTGAACTGCTGACCTTGTGATTAGCAGTTCAATGTGTAACCCACTATGCCACCAACAACTCCCAAATCCCAATGACTTAATAAAGATTTCTTTCTGGTTCTGGCAACAGCCCAGGGTGATTGTCCTTTGTTACCTCTCCAGTGTCCTAGCGACCCAGGCTACCTCCATCCTGTGACTCTGCCATCCTAACTGCCTCCACAGGGAAGAGAAAACTGGAAGGTTATTCGCGGATCCCTTCAACGTTTTGGGCCCCCAGTGACACCCACCTAAGTGTTAGGGGCTTGGACCTGTAGAGGACACAACAGATAGACTATTTGGGGAGCCTCCTTTCTCCATCAGTTTCTCACCGTGCCGGGCAGTGTGACTGACAACACCGGGTTGGTTTCCTGCCTCATCCCCTCATGGGAAGAGAGGGGAAGTCTTCTTTTCCACAAGTTCTCTGCTGACTCCGTGTGTGCAATTCTAGCCAGCCTTTTCTGGTTTTATGTTTTTTGATTCGTTTTCTGTTTTACAGATGATATCCCACTTAATCGTCCTAAGAAAAAGAAGTCCAGGCCAAAAAACACACTTGGTAAGAAGTGCCTTATTGTGTGGGGTGACACATTTCCCAGGCCCTCAGGCACCATCAGCATCACAGGGCAGGGGAGAGGCAAGGTCCGGAAGTCCCCAGTTAGTGCTGCGTTGAGGACAGTATTAAGGCCAGGCCGTTTAAAGGGACGGGATTCTGGGTGAGAGCGAAGGACAAGGCAGTGGGCAGCCTGCAGGGTGCCTGTCTTCGAAGCATCCGTGGGCTGTGCCACGACACTCTTTCACGAGGTTCCTAGACGCCTTGAAGGCCCCATCCCTAGACTGTGTGTGTTCGCATCAATTGTACCGGTCGAACCTGACACTGGATTGAAAGAAATGCTGGGTTCTTAAGTGCTCGTTTTGTCAGAGTAAACACCCCAATATTGAGCGGGTTCTGTGAGCTGGTTCTGGATGTCCCGCCCAGAAACCTCAGGCCCAGAAACCTCAGCACCACTTTTAACGGCTCCCTTTACTTCACGCTGTACCTGTGGGCCTTGATATGCTTGCTTCTGCAGCATCTGTTTTGTGTTTCTTCTTCACTCAGTTCCACCATCCGCCAGATAATTGGTGTAACTCCTATCCTCTTTTCATGGGCGCTCCTGGAGTAGCTGCCAACAGTGTCCTCCCTCCACACCTGCCCATTCCCCACTCGGCCCAGTCCTGCCCATCACTAGTGCCGAGGGTTCCTTCAAACTCACACCTTTAAGATCATGTCTTACACCT